GCCGCTCGCAGCCCGCCCGGGACTGGCAGCCCGGGACGTCGCCTCCCCAGCCTCCGCCGGACGCCGGACGCCCTCGGGGCGAGAGGCGCGGGGCTCAGCCAGGGCTCGGCGGGGCCGGCGCGCCGCGGGGTGAGCTCCCGACCGTGCGCCCCCGGCGCTGCCCGGGAGCAGCGGGAGCCGAGCAGCGCCGCGCCCGCGATGCCGGGCCGCTCCAGGCGCGGAGGGAGCGCCCGGGGCGCGCGGGCGCTGTGAGTGGACCCCGGCCGGAGGCTTGGAGCGCCCGGGACGCGGCGGGACTGGCTGAGGATGAGCCCCAGGACGCCGGGGCTCCGCCGCGCCGCGGGCTCCGCCGGCGAGCGCTGATGGGGAGGCGCCAGCGTCGGGCTGAGGGATGCGGAGCGGCGGCCCGCCCGCCACCCAGATCTTCGCTGCGCCCTTGCCCGGCCCCGGCGTCGCCCGGGATGGCCGCCCCGAGCCAGGGGTCGCGGCCCAGCTAGCGCAGCGCGCCCGACCCTCGCCCGGCCCCGCGCCCCGCCGGCGCCGGTCCCCGAGGACGACGACAGCCGCAGCCTCGCCTCAGCCTTCCCTGCCCGGCCCTGCCGCGCACTCCTCCCCCTGCGTGGGGCTGTGTGTCAGCACTTGGCTGGAGACTTCTTGAACTTGCCGGGAGAGTGACTGGGGCTCCCCACGGCGCGCCGGTGTGTTGCCCGGCGGATCCAGTCTTGCCGCCTGCATCCCGGGCGCCTCTCTGCTCCTCGGCCGGCCGGGTCTACCCCACGACACCCGCCCCCCACCCCCACCCCCGGGAGAGCACCGCAGAAGGAGGAGGCGAAGAGAAGCAGCAGAAGCCCGGCCCCTGCTCCAGGTCCCTCGGACAGGGCTTCTTCCATGTGGAGACTCTCTCAATGGACGTGCCCCCGAGTGCTTCTTAGACGGACTGCGGTCTCCTAAAGGTAGAGGACACGGGCCCGGGCCCGGGGCGGGCGGGTGACACCTGTGCCGGCCTTGAGGTGCTAGGCATTGCAGAGGACCGGCCGAGGGCACGTAAACAGACCCAATCCCCGTGCACGTGCAGCGGGTCCCCAGAGGGGCCGCGCATCCAGAACCCAGGCCCCTCTGCCTTGCCCACCTGGCCTGCGCTCTTCCGCCGGCCCGTCCTCCTCCCCAGTTTTCGGTACATTGTTAGGGCTGTTAAGGACTTAATGGCTTTACAGAAGGGGGAAAAAGGTACAGAAATCCACGCAGAGTGTGGCCGGTGGATTTTACCAGTTGCTTGCAGACCGGGACTCCAGGCCTGAGAGACCTCCTTAAGTTACTCCTGAGACCCGGAGTTTGTCTTAAGAACTGGTCCCGTTTAGGAAGGTACTAAAACCTGGGGCTTTCGGTGTGTGTTTACTGACTGTGCGGATGTGTCAGTTTACACGTGCGCTCATAGAAAATATTCGCAAATAATTGCCAGAAGGTGCGTGCGTTTCTTGACTGCTGGGGGGGGGGGGTGTCTGGGGAAGGGGAGGGGTTCACCCTGAGGTTAGGGGCGTGGGCCACGATTTGCAAGTAGCGTCTTTTGTAGTAACCGAGTTTAGGGCTCACCGAATCTACAAGTTAGATGTCTACCAGGAAGTTAAGTTCTGCACGGCGCCGCTAAGGAAGTCACATGTGCATTGATGTCTGTTTATGTCCAAGTGAGCGCTGCACAGTGTAGTTCCATAAGAGATGCGGTGTCAGACCGGCTGGTGGCTTCCTAGCTTCCTGACCCCGGCCTTCCTGGGTGACAGACGGTCACTGTTTTTACTGGGAATGAACACCTAGCCCCAAGTGAGAAGTCCGGCAGGCGGAGAACAGGATAAGACACAGAGAATAGGACACCGCACAGGGACCTGGGGGCCCCCGTCCGCTGTGTCATGGAGGCTGTAACCCGCGAGCATGACATGCCAGGAGGGCATCCTGGAGAAGGCCGGCGAGCCCTGTGGGAGCCGGGGCCGCGGGGGCGGGCGGAGGACTGGGCGGGGAACGCGGGTGACTCACGTCGGCCCTGTCCGCAGGTCGACCATGGTGGCCGGGACCCGCTGTCTTCTAGTGTTGCTGCTTCCCCAGGTCCTCCTGGGCGGCGCGGCCGGCCTCATTCCGGAGCTGGGCCGCAAGAAGTTCGCCGCGGCGTCCGGCCGCCCCTCGCCCCGGCCTTCGGACGACGTCCTCAGCGAGTTTGAGTTGAGGCTGCTCAGTATGTTTGGCCTGAAGCACAGACCCAACCCCAGCAAGGACGCCGTGGTGCCCCCCTATATGCTGGACTTGTACCGCCGGCACTCGGGCCAGCCGGGAGCGCCCGCCCCGGACCACCGGCTGGAGAGGGCAGCCAGCCGCGCCAACACCGTGCGCAGCTTCCACCACGAAGGTGAGCAGGCGGCGGGCGGCGGGGCGGGGACGGCGGGCGGAGACTCGGCGGGCAGCCCGGGCCGGGCCTCCGCTAGCGCAGCGGACGGCCCTCCGGCTTCTGTACCGTCCCCTCTGTGGCCTCCGGCCAGGGATTCCCCGCTGGTGAGTCCGCACCCTTTCCTGGCCGGTAGCCCGAAGACAGACTCCTCCCCCCAAGAACTGGAGAGAAATCGAGGGATGGGGGAGAGGGTAAAAGGCTGGCTAGTCCCTACCCAGCTAAACGTTCGAGAATTCCACAGAAGGCGGAAGATTGGGGTTCCTCAAATCTGTTTGGAAACGCAGATCTGTGACTTGTGTTCACGCTGGAGTTTTAGGCTAGACAGAGCCGCGGGCAGAATGTTCCCAGATAGTATTAAATAACCAAAGTCCTGGGCCCCAGAGCATTCAAATTTACTGTTGATTTGGGCCCAGTTTGAGAAAGATTTTGAATCCCTGTCTAATCCGCGTGGGAGATCAATTCCACAATCCATCGTATTGTTTCCACAAAGTCCTCCCTTCTTGTGCTTGAATCTTAGTCTCCAAGTGGAGGCAGGGCAAGCCTTCAGATAAACGCTTTCTCCGCCGTCGCCGTCGCCTGCAACCTTCCTATGCAAGGCGATGGGTTTTTTCTTCTCTTTTATGAATATGGCTTCCCAACGTAGGATAATTCTGTTTGTTTCATCAGAAAGACATTTAGTGAGTTTGAAATGTCGTAGAGGCCTACTGAAGTCTCTTGTACTAAAGTTCTTAGGACAGTAAAAAAGAAAAGTGCCCCAGCTCAGTCCTGTGTGTGTCACTTTAAATGGTCTTTTGGCTTAATGCAGTCTAAATAGACTAGCAGTTCCTTCATATTCTGCAAGAATGCAGAGATTGTCTGTCAGTGAGCTGCGATTTATAGAACAGCGGGGAGCTAAGAGGAGAAGTTCCCTTTTTAAATTTTTGCTTTGCCTTGTAAAAATCTATGCTCTGAAATGGTAGCCCAACCCCCTTGCCCCTGCAAGGGATGGCTTCAACTTTGAGAAGTCTGGCTGGTGAGAGGAAAATGTGTCACAGGCAGGTCACATAGCCAGAGGTGTGTCCTCCTGGAGGCAGCCACTTTTGATGAGGGCACTCCAAAACCACCTCTTTCAGACTGGTCTCTAAAGTTTTCCTGGGAGCAAAACTCGGTTTTGAAAGACAGTGAGACCTCCTTCTGCTCTTCAGGTGTGTTCACTCTGTCTGCCAACCCTGAGATGATCCCCCGCCCAAGCTAACCTCTCCCAGTTGATAGTGATGGGAAGGATGTTTGTAGATTTAAAAAACCAACCAGCACAACTGTTTTCCCTGCTGCCTCTGGAAATGGAGCAGAAAAACTCTTTACTCATTCATTTGTCTTTTCTAGCATAAAAATCATTATTTGTAAAAACCAGGGAAGGTACTTTATCTTTGTTTTAACTAATCTAAGGGACTCATTTAAGGCAATTAAAACTTAAAGATCCAATTGAGAGATTCATCAATAAAGTCAGCGTATTTTCACTCTTCCCTTGGAAGCAGCTTGATAAAAACACAGGCAAAGCATTGTCTGTGTGTGACTTTAACCTAATGTGCTTCCGTTCATGACACAAACTTATCTTTAAAGGGGATCTTTCAGGTGTAAAGATGTATAGAAGTTATCGGCTTTCTTATAATAAAGTTGCCCTAACTTTATATCTTGGTGCAATCAGATAGAAGTGATAAGGCTTCTGGCTCAAGTCATAATTGAATTCATACACATTAAAGACATATTTTTTAAGAAAAATCTTAAGGACCCTATTAAAGAATTACCTGGTAGGCTTCTTCATAAATGCTAGAAATTGGCTTAATGGTATGTGGAGACAAGATATACCATGGCAGTCTCTCAGCCATTAGCAGATACTTCCAGACAAAATCTCCTGTTGAACATTTAAGTCCATTCTACCATGGATTTCATCATGGAGAGCACAGTCCTTGCAGAACCTCCCAGCCCCAACTGGCTGCCATTGCAAACAGTTTGAAATTACTTGATTGTGTTGGTGCTACAGAGACTTCTGCTTTTGTGGCAGATTGTTATACAGAAGTTTTCAAAGAGGGAGAAATCCTGTTGGCAGGATTGTAACTGCCCAGAAAATACCCGCAGGCTGGGACATCTCAAGGTCCCACTCTGCCTTGTGATGATGAAAGCATGGCCCGAAATTCCAGCGTGGGTTTGGATGGAGACACCCAGGAACGCCCCTAGCTACCTCTAGCTGTTGCAGGGTGCTTGCAAAGACCCTCTGGGGAAAACCGTTGTTCAGTTTGCAGATGTTCCTTTCCACTGATGCTTTCAATGTCTTTTGTTGTCACTGACCCTTTGAATGCCTTTCTCACTCCTCACCAAGCTGCTTTTGTCCTCTCTAGATGTGCCTTGGGGTATCTCACTCCTTGTTTAGAGACTCTCTCCTGGACCTTCAGGTCTTCCTCAGGGGAGCAGGGACCAAGGCAAGTTAGTGTCAACCACCAGCTCCTGCTTTCCTCTCCCACCACTCTCTGTTGCTTTAAAAATTAAAAGTTAATTCTGTGTATTTTAACTTTTTTTTTCCCTTTGGTGTGTCATATGATTTGTCCTGTAGAAAATCATGTGCACCCAAAGCCCCTTGCATTTAGTTGCAGGGGTAAGATGCAGCTGCTGATCTGGATTAGCCTCAGGCTTTGTTGTTGTTTTGATGGAGGGATGTTTTCTGTCCAAAAAGTGTTACAAAATCCTCCAAGCTTAATGATAACTTTTGAAATAAAACTTACCCTTCTTTAGGGCAGACAAGTAGCCAAGGAGAGCAGGGTCCAAACAAGGTCTGGTATCCCATTTGGCTGTGTCCCTTCACTTTTCTCTTTAGCTCTGTCTGCAAGTCCAAAGGGTTCTGGGCAATGTTTTGATCCTCAGGGCAAAACTCACTCTGCAGTTTCCATGTTATCAGGTACTGTTGCTTAGGATTTTATTTCTCTCCTACATTAGCTTGTGCCTGCCAATGGCCAGAAGCTGGCCATTCCAGTAGACTCAAGTTAACAGTTCTGTGACCAAGAGAGGTTCACACAATGGAGAAAGTCGAAGTTCCCTCTAATAAGCTTGTTAAAATTGATAGTTCATAGCACCAGATTTGTCACAAATAAATAAATAGATGGGCAGATAGATAGATAGGTTGATAAACTGATTGATGGATGATAGATGGCACATAAATAAGAAAAGGGAAAGAAAGAAACAAAAAAGCGAGCATTCAGCACAGTAGCTAATCTTTTATGGTGACATTTTTATATCATATTGTCCCTTTTCCTAGGGAATGGTCCCAAGTCAAGTCTTTTGGATTATTTTAAGGTAGAAAACTAGTCAATGTAGTATAGAACAGTGAGTCTGGGCTTTGTTACTGAGAGACAGTGAAATGGCACTGCTGCCCCCCTTTCTTGTTTTTTCAGCATTTCTGCAGCCACCATTCTCTCCATTTGGTTGAGAACTGGCAGGCTGATCCTCAGGTTGGAGACAGGTCAGGATCCTGAAATCACTTAGCAAGTTCAGCTGATTCAACAAGGGATATTTACAGAGAATTAACAGCTATTCCAGCCTCCAAAAAGTGTACATTACCTACTCTATGTTTTCAGAACCCCAGGCTTGCTGTGATAATTCGTAGAGGTCTTTTCCTATAATTTACATTATTTAAGGGAGATTTTCAATTTCCCACCCTCAAGATGAGGTTGAAACTTGTCCTTTGAAAGGAGAAAAGGTGCTGTGTGTCCTGACCCTGGAAAGTTGGCCTCCTTTGTTGAGACTTTCTGTAAATTCTTGACTTCTGCGTATTACTTCAATGAACAGTCACAGTAGATATCTTGGTATGAAGGATTGGATATTACAAGGCTTAGGCTGATGGAAATGCTGCTGAAAGATTGGAGACAGGTCTTTCCCTTGTCATTAGTTCTGGATAGGGCATTGTTCTCCTTTGTAAAGGCAACTTATTCTCTCTTGCAGATACTTCTTACCTCCAGAGTAACAAGCCACAGGAAGGGTTGTTTCTTTACTTCCAGTTGGAAGATGGAAATTTCATATGGCCTAATCTTGTCTTTATTTCTTGGACAGATATTTTACTTCAGTGACCTGTCTTCTGTATTTATCTTCGGTATTGCTTATTCACTTTTGTCCTGTAGTCATGTATGTGTCTGTAATCGTGTGTGTGTGTGTGTGTGTGTGTGTGTGTGTGTGTGTGTACTTAGAGTCTAACTTTTTCATTTTTGTTTGTGGGTTGGGATTCAGCAACTTTGTTACCATTGTGATTTTTCTGAGAACTGTTGTCAAATGGTGGAGCAGTTTGTGGAAGACTCTGGGTAATTGGCCTTTATACTCTGTCTTTACAAGAAATAATGGGCACCTCATTGTGCCAGTGTTAGGAGATGCTAGTGTGATTTGCTGTGATTGGGGTCACAGGGAATGCTGCTACTATTTTATATTTTCTATTTAAGGGCCTTAGGCAAAAACATTAGGGGACCCCAGAATGGTGACAAAAAGGCTAAATACAGTACTTCCTTTATACTTTCTAGGAATGTCCCTAGGAGGCTGTCCCATTAGCTGAGAGTGGAGTTCAGAATATAAATGGGTTCCCAAAGGTATCACCAAGAACTTTTTGGCAAACAGGTACAAGAGGACTATGAGGGATGCCCAGCTTGGCCTAGCAGTCTTCCTATCCAAGTAAAAACTTGAGAAGGTCCCCTGTTTGAGTTCCTGTCTGTCTTACTGTAGCCTGAATCCTTATTTGTTGGCTAACAAGAATGCCTCTTATCTAAAAGGTGCTTTACAAATGAGGAACATCCTATTGAACCTTGTCACTGAAGTGTGGTCCATAAACTTACAGTATCTCTTGCCTAAGCGCTTAATGGAAATGCAGGACCACAGGCCCTTTCCCAGTCCTACTGATGTGTAGGCCCGAAGTCTAAGAACATAGAGGTCATTTTGAATGAGTATGAGATGGGAAACAAGAGAGCAGGCAGTAGGGAGTGATTTCTCCTGGAATTCTTTATTGTTAATTGCTACAGTGTTCTAGTGCCACACATACCTTTCTAAAGAGCTACATCCCTGCGAATGCCTTTGTCTCTCAGAGTTCTGAGCAAAATGGTAGGGTGTGCTTTGCAAAATGTCATCATTGATGTTGAGTTTCAGAGTCTTTAATTAAGAGACTGAAATCTGTATATTGAGATTTGTAAATCATCTAAATTGTAGAGTAATGTTTTCAAATGCCGCTTAAAAGATTGACATTAAAGCTCGTTTTCTTAGTTAAGAAATGCAATAATTTCCTCAACTCCTCAGTCATTAGCCTTGAACTAACTATAGTGCTGACTTTTTTTTCCCATTAAAGTCTGTGAATTCCAAAGAGGTGTTTCACTATTTCCTTTATTATTATAGCTACCTAGAAGCTATATTCATATATTGGATTAAAAGCATAGCAATTACAAAGTTAATATGACCATATAGAAAAAGGAAGAGAGACTCCATTTTCATTTTAATTTTTTTATAGTGTTAGGCAGTAAACCCAGGGCCCTGGACAAAAGGCAGATACTGTATGTATCTCTAGGCCTGACATTTTTAATTTCTGGTTGCAAACTTATGCGGTTTAATTCAAACTGTGTATTGACGTTTTTGAGTGCTCATAAGGAATTAAGTTACCATTGGCTCTCTTACCAAATGCTTTCCTTTTCTCTCCACTTTGGTCAAACTAGAAGCCGTAGAAGAACTACCAGAAATGAATGGGAAAACGGCCCGTCGTTTCTTCTTCAATTTAAGTTCTGTCCCCGCCGACGAGTTTCTTACATCTGCAGAACTGCAGATTTTTCGGGAGCAGCTGCCAGAAGCTTTGGGAAACAATAGTTTCCAGCACCGAATTAATATTTATGAAATTATAAAGCCTGCAGCAGCCAACTTGAAATATCCCGTGACTAGGCTATTGGACACCAGGTTAGTGAATCAGAACACAAGTCAGTGGGAGAGCTTTGATGTGACCCCGGCTGTGATGCGCTGGACTGCGCAGGGACACACCAACCATGGCTTTGTGGTGGAAGTGGCTCATTTAGAGGACAAGCCAGGTGTCTCTAAGAGACACGTGAGGATTAGCAGGTCTTTGCACCAAGATGAACACAGCTGGTCACAGATAAGGCCATTGCTAGTGACATTTGGCCACGATGGAAAAGGACACCCACTGCACAAAAGAGAAAAACGCCAAGCCAAGCACAAACAGCGGAAACGCCTCAAGTCCAGCTGCAAGAGACACCCTTTGTACGTGGACTTCAGTGACGTGGGGTGGAATGACTGGATCGTGGCCCCGCCAGGCTACCACGCCTTCTACTGCCACGGGGAATGTCCTTTTCCCTTGGCCGATCACCTGAACTCCACTAACCATGCTATCGTACAGACGCTGGTGAACTCTGTGAACTCCAAAATCCCGAAGGCTTGCTGTGTTCCCACCGAACTCAGCGCAATCTCCATGTTGTACCTAGATGAGAATGAAAAGGTTGTGCTAAAAAACTATCAGGACATGGTAGTGGAGGGTTGTGGGTGTCGTTAGCACAGCAAAAATAAATAAGTAAATAAATAAATATATATATTTTAGAGAAAGAAAAACCCCTACTCCCCTCCTCCCCCACCAAAAAAACAGCTGACACTTTAATATTTCCCAATGAAGACTTTATTTATGGAATGGAATGGAAAAAAAACACAGCTATTTTGAAAATATATTTATATCTATGAAAAGAAGTTGGGAAAGCAAATATTTTAATCAGAGAATTATTCCTTAAAGATTTAAAATGTATTTAGTTGTACATTTTATATGGGTTCAACTCCAGCACATGAAGTATAATGGTCAGAGTTATTTTGTATTTATTTACTATTATAACCACTTTTTAGGAAAAAAAATAGTTAATTTGTATTTATATGTAATCAAAAGAAATATCGGGTTTGTATATAATTTTCCAAACAATTGTAGTTGTTTTTCAGTGTGTGTATTTAAGATGCAGAGTCTACATGGAAGGTCACTGGGCAAAGTGCTTGCACATTTGCTTCTTGTTTTTTGCAGCACTACTGTTAAAGTTCACAAGTTCAAGTCCAAAAAAAAAAAAAA